CTCCACAAAATGTCCGTTCGGCCAAATGTCCGTTCGGCAAAATGTCTCTCTGCTGAATGTCCGTTCGTCCAAATATCTCTCTGCTAAATATACGTTCGGCCAAATGTCCGTTCGGCCAAATGTCTCTCTGCTGAATGTCCGTTCGGCCAAATGTCTCTTTGCTAAATGTCCGTTCGGTCAAATGTCTCTCTGCTAAATATCTGTTCGGCCAAATGTCTCTCTGCTAAATGTCCGTTCGGCCAAATGTCTCTCTGCTAAATGTCCGTTCGGCCAAATGTCTCTCTGCTAAATGTCTGTTCGGCCAAATGTCTCTCTGCTAAATGTCCGTTCGGCCAAATGTCTCTCTGCTAAATGTCCGTTCGGCCAAATGTCTCTCCACAAAATGTCCGTTCGGCCAAATGTCCGTTCGGCAAAATGTCTCTCTGCTGAATGTCCGTTCGTCCAAATATCTCTCTGCTAAATATACGTTCGGCCAAATGTCCGTTCGGCCAAATGTCTCTCTGCTGAATGTCCGTTCGTCCAAATGTCTCTTTGCTAAATGTCCGTTCGGTCAAATGTCTCTCTGCTAAATATCTGTTCGGCCAAATGTCTCTGTAAATGTCCGTTCGCCCAAATGTCTCTCTGCTAAATGTCCGTTCGGCCGAATGTCTTCTGCTGAATGTCCATTCGGCCAAATATCTCTCTGCTAAATGTCCGTTCGGCCAAATGTCTCTCCGCTAAATGTCCTTTCGGCCAAAAAGTCTCTCTGCTAAATGTCCCGTTCGGCCAAATGTCTCTCCGCTAAATGTCCGTTCGGCCAAATGTCTCTCTGCTAAATGTCCGTTCGGCCAAATGTCTCTCTGCTGAATGTCCGTTCGGCCAAATATCTCTCTGCTAAATGTCCGTTCTGCCAAATGCCTCTCCGCTAAATGTCCGTTCGGCCAAATGTCTCTCTGCTAAATGTCCGTTCGGCCAAATGTCTCTCCGCTAAATGTCCGTTCGGCCAAATGTCTCTCTGCTAAATATCCGTTCGGCCAAATGTCCGTTCGGCCAAATGTCTTTCCGCTAAATGTCCGTTCGGCCAAATGTCTTTCTGCTAAATATACCTTCGGCCAAATGTCTCTCTGCTAAATGTCCGTTCGGCCAAATATCTCTCTGCTAAATGTCTTTTCGGCCAAATGTCTCTCCGCTAAATGTCCATTCGGCCAAATCTCTCTACTAAATGTCCGTTCGGCCAAATGTCCGTTCGGCCAAATCTCCGTTCGGCCAAATGTCTCTCTGCTAAATGTCCGTTCGGCCAAATGTCTCTCTGCTGAATGTCCGTTCGGCCAAATATCTCTCTGCTAAATGTCCGTTCTGCCAAATGCCTCTCCGCTAAATGTCCGTTCGGCCAAATGTCTCTCTGCTAAATGTCCGTTCGGCAAATGTCTCCGCTAAATGTCCGTTCGGCCAAATGTCTCTCTGCTAAATATCCGTTCGGCCAAATGTCCGTTCGGCCAAATGTCTTTCCGCTAAATGTCCGTTCGGCCAAATGTCTTTCTGCTAAATATACGTTCGGCCAAATGTCTCTCTGCTAAATGTCCGTTCGGCCAAATATCTCTCTGCTAAATGTCTTTTCGGCCAAATGTCTCTCCGCTAAATGTCCATTCGGCCAAATGTCTCTCTACTAAATGTCCGTTCGGCCAAATGTCCGTTCGGCCAAATCTCCGTTCGGCCAAATGTCTCTCTGCTGAATGTCCGTTCGGCCAAATGTCTCTCTGCTAAATATCCGTTCGGCCAAATGTCCGTTCGGCCAAATGTCTTTCCGCTAAATGTCCGTTCGGCCAAATGTCTTTCTGCTAAATATACGTTCGGCCAAATGTCTCTCTGCTAAATGTCCGTTCGGCCAAATATCTCTCTGCTAAATGTCTTTTCGTCAAATGTCTCTCCGCTAAATGTCCATTCGCCAAATGTCTCTCTACTAAATGTCCGTTCAAAAATGTCCGTTCGGCCAAATCTCCGTTCAAAAATGTCTCTCTGCTGAATGTCCGTTCGGCCAAATGTCTCTCTGCTAAATGTCCGCTCGGCCAAATGTCTTTCTGCTAAATGTCCGCTCGGCCAAATGTCTCTCTGCTAAATGTCCGTTCGGCCAAATGTCTCTCTGCTAAATGTCCGCTCGGCCAAATGTCCTCTGCTAAATGTCGCTCGCCAAATGTCTCTCTGCCAAATGTCCGTTCGGCCAAATGTCTCTCTGCTAAATGTCCATTCGTAAATGTCTCTCTCTTCGTGGTCTCTCTGCTAAATGTCCGTTCGGCCAAATGTCTCACTGCTAAATCCCGCTCGGCCAAATGTCTCTCTGCTAAATGTCCATTCGGCTAAATGTCTCTCTGCTAAATGTCCGTTCGGCCAAATGTCTCTCTGCCAAATGTCCGCTCGGCCAAATGTCTCTCTGCTAAATGTCCATTCGGCCAAATGTCTCTCTGCTAAATGTCCATTCGGCCAAATGTCTCTCTGCTAAATGTCCGTTCGGCCAAATGTCTCACTCCTAAATGTCCGCTCGGCCAAATGTCTCTCTGCTAAATGTCCATTCGGCCAAATGTCTCTCTGCTAAATGTCCATTCGGCCAAATGTCTCACTGCTAAATGTCCATTCGGCCAAATGTCTCACTGCTAAATGTCCATTCGGCCAAATGTCTCTCTGCTAAATGTCCATTCGGCC